AGCAATATTTTGACCTATGATTGGACATATATCACCTAAATTCAATATTCATTAAATTGACAAGTGATTTCACTTAAGGGGGATTATTAGACCTCTGTGCAGGCTGAAGTTAGGCAAAGAAGCTATGATGAGGATAATGTTATGTCACCTGAATTAATAAAGTGAAACTTACTTGCAGGCTGTGGAGAAATTCCACAGGAGCTATAATATATATATACGTATATATATATTATAGCTGGCAACAACAGCAATCTGCAGGTTTCTAAGTATATCTTTTAATCAAAAATGTAATTGTTACTTGTCTAGTAAATAGTGTACACTAGTAAAGGTGTACAATTAACAATGGCTCAGTTACATTTCACCAATTAATGTATCAGTGAGCCAACAAACACAATGACAGGGCAGAGTGTAGCCCTGATTAATAATACTAATTCATATTAAACACATTGTGGTTTTCTTGTGTCAAAATGCAGTTAAAAAAGCCAGATTTAACTCAAAGAAGGTTCAGTTTTAACAGGAAATAAGTACATATACATTACAAATGTTAAGTGAATTATGGTGTTACTTTAACATAAGAATGATAAAGATGTAAGCTGTTCCTCCTTAACAGGTGCAACACAACCAGCAGCAGAGTTAGAGAGATGTCAATCAAACACATTCTGTACACCAACATAGTCCTGAGAGGAGGTCCAATCAGGCAAGATACATGACTAGGTGTAGGGCTCTCCCTTCCTGAAGCTCTGTCACTAGGACCTAGGAAAAATCACAGCAGTCAGGTTGAATCAAATCAAATAACCCTGTGCTTATATTTTGGAAAATAATCATATACATTATGCATTATAATACAAGCTTTCACAATGATTTAAAATATCAAAACAGTGCAAAATGAGCAAAAGTAGCAAACACCAGTTTAAGGTACTGTGGATAAAACATATCATAGCCTGACTGAACAAATTCATTATCAACTTATTATGAGGTTACAGTACAACCCACATTGGGTGGATTTAAAAAAAAAAAAACATGATAAAATGTTATTCATTAATGAGTTTTATTGGACACATTCTATTTAGACAGTCCAGCACTTCCTATCAAGTGACTTCAATGTTCCCACTGAGGGTGTTAAATACTATAAAAACTGATCTTCATTAAGTGTTAATATTAAGTTTAGTGTTACCAGTGGGGTCAGATTTATATAGTCCAGAGATGAAAGAAAATACTGTAGGAATCTAATGTACCTTTTGTCAATTAAATTTAAGTTTAGTTTATTTGTATGGTGGGAAATCATTATAGGAATTATCTCAGGACAATTTCAAATAGAGCAGGTCTAGACTGTATTTATTATAAAATTGTCACTTGACAGCTGAGTGTCAACATTTGACTGTCCAAACACTTGTCCAAAGTAGCGTTTAACATCTAAAATTTAGATTTGTACCATTTACATATTCACAGTTAACTGTAGTTGATTCCAAAAGCTGTCAGTATAATACTGTATCTGTCTGCCCTTCAGCACATATGGTGGTAAAGTGGCAGTGTTTAACAGAAAATCAGTCTGGTCAGTTTTAAGCCAGGCAGTTTTAAAATAATTAAAAATCTAATCAAATCAATATTTCATGAATCCACAATGTAACTGTAATAGTTCAATTCTAAACTACTCCACTTACAGTCACTACCCAACAGTGAGTCTAGTTTCCCTGTTGGTGTAAAATGTAGTACAGGCAGAAACAAAACAGTAGGCATGTGCGGTGGTTTGTCCATGCAGAGCAGCACACAAACAGAAACATAAAAGCTTGCCTCATCTCAGCTAATGATGATGGAAGAGTTGCAGAACTATCACCAATCCAAAATCAACTAATTACACAGTTAACACATAGCACATTATCAACAGCAGCAAGAATAAATAGGAAAATTAACTCTCTTCAAAATACTTGCAATTTATATATTACAACAACCAGCTACAATGACAGCCAGTGTACACTGCGTTTATCCTGCATAAGTACTGCAGTACTTCCCTCAGACCCAGTCCATCATGAGGGCTGACCAAGGAGTGCTGCAGCAGGTTTTTTTTATGTTGGAGGCTGTTGAAGCCTTTACTGGTTTTAACTGGATCACCAGTGAGTCACTATCTCAACAATGACTTGTATATTAATTTGAATATGACTCTGCCCTTTATTTAGTCACTTTAAAACTTTTGAGAACAAATCCAGCAGCAACAGACCTATAACAACTTTACTCCGTTTACATTTACAGCAATATATTTGAATAGCAAAGGTCAACTATCACTCCGAGTACTTCAAGAGTAAATAATCAGGAAACATTTTCACTCGTCATAGCAGGAGAAGCACAGGAGGAACTAATAACATTAACGATGGCTCTGCTCCTTTGAAATTACCCACTGAGGCACCATGCACACAGGACCAAGGCTATATTGCAACAAGCCAATATTGTGACATTATTAATTACACCTGTTCTTTTCCTGCTATGATGTGCTGAGAAAGATTTATAGAAGGTATGCAATGACATTTTCACATATACATCCTGAACCAACACCAGTGAGGAGCAAAACAAACCGCTACAAGTTCCCTTAATGCGATTTTGAGCATATGTTAAAATCACATTCATACCCTCTGGTGACGTAGCTGGCTGCTGTAAGAAATAAGGTTTTAATTCATTGAAAACAATGACAATGCGAGGTAAAGCTGTTTTCCATAATGGACGGTGTTATACAAAAAGAAGCCACAATAATTATCTGAGCATTTTGGCACATATGAACAGTAATGATATGTCTGTAGGCATATGCATGATTTCTGTGATATTTCATAAGAAAATAGAAAGGATAAAACCTGAAGTCTTCAACAAAAGTCCATTCTGTACGTATGAATAAAAGCCGTCTTTAGTTATGACCCAAAATAATCTACTGTATTACACTTGAAAAGATAGATAAACAAAAAGAAGGCGCCGGATCTGTGAGGTCCCACATAGTATGTGCTTTGCATTGGTACAGTCTTCTGAGGTCTGTTCTGTAGTTTACAGCCTTCTGAGGTGAAAGTGTCACAGTAGTTTGAAGAGTATAATATGTGGTTGATGTGTTTCAATCTGATGATCTGATGAACGCCTTTGCAGAGTCAGAGGCCCCCTTTTGGTCAGGATGTTAAGAGTACGTTAGTCGGAAAAAAGGTTGAGCCAAACAAGTGACAGGAGGAGAATGGAACACATCTATCCACGGTTCTGATTGGCTCTTAGCAGGTCTCTCCCAGAATCCTGTGCAGGTCCTCAGACAGAACACGGCCTTCTTCACCACGACTTACATTCCTCACCATCCTGCGATCAAACACACGTAAACAAAACACAGACGCATAAAATTCAGTATTTTAATCTCCGGGGTTGCATCTCAATTTTAAATTATCAGTAATTATCAACGTTTCTGAAAACACGTAGCGTATTTTACCACATTCCCGACAATTCCTCATGCAGCAGCTGGATGACATCGCCACAGTTAAAGATGATGTCATCAGTGCTGGCCATGCTGCTCTCTACCATGACCCTGTACCTGCCTGACACCTGGAACAGAAAGAAAGACAAGTAAAATACAAGAGAACAGTGCATTTTTAAACTTTTCCACAGTCAACAGTTTATATCTCTAGAAAGGTAGACAGACAGATAGATAGGTATATAGACAGAGTGCAAGATAGGGTCTTATCTAATGTGAGCCTGCCGAGGGAGGAGAGAAAAAGAAAGGAGGAAATTAAAAACACAGGTAGGCTGGCATGCTGCAGATTTTCAACTCCTTTGTTGAAAACGTGATGGACAATGACTGATCAGCCTCATCTCAGAGGTATTTTGGTTTAGTTTCTGTCTGCGTTTGCCCATTGAGCTGTTGGTCATCAGTGTGTGGCTGGCAATTTAACAGGACTTCATTGCCGGTCCCACCACCCATTTGAGGGAGGTGACGCATCATTGTTAGTAGCTGGTATATGCCTCAAGGTGCTAAACACAACATAACACATAATTTTTCCAGTTCAACTTGTGTCATGACAGGAACAAAATCTCACCAGTGGAACGGGCTGATCCTCCTCGTCTGAGTCTGATAAGTTGGAGAGGTCTGTTGCTGCACCCCAGTCCTCCAGGCCGTCACAGATTGCCACTGAGTGGGCAGGGACAGGCCAAGCTGCAGGTGACAAGACAGCTGAGACGACTAAAAACTGTATACAATATGTGTGTATTGAGTGTGAGAAATAAAATATGTGAGAAAGATGTTGTTCAGGTCATCCAGGGTGTTCATGAAAATGAATAATGTTTTATTGCAAACAAACCTCTGTTTCTGCTTCAGGAAAAGTAAAGATATGTGTGTTGAAACTCCCATGGAGACCATTAGTAACCACTCTTCTACAACTGTAGTCCATAATTAATATGCATGATTACAACCGCTTCAGCCTGCTAAATCTTTGTTAATGTGCTGGAAACCTCAATGTGTCCAAACTCATAGTACAGATATATATAAATATAAATATACCACTTCATTCAGCAAGCTTTCTGTCTATCTAACCTTCATCAGAGCATACAAAATACAACAATGGACAAAACACAAATACATTTCTTTGTGTTTTGTTACAACTATAGTTTCTATTTGTATGCCTCACAGAATTTGGAAACTACATTTCCTAAGAGGTGGAGCTTCTGCCACCAGGCTGAACACAGGTTTTCTGCGTACTGCCAATGATTAGGACTGGTTATTTGTTCCTGCCTGTCCACTGTTGTATTTTGTGTGCTCTGATGAAGGTCAGATAGACGCCTTAAAATGAAGAAGGCCTCACGACCCCCTTAAGTTTTACCTAGTTGGGGTCCCACCCCCTAGGTTGGAAACCACTGAGATAGACCATAGCTTGCTAAATAAAGTGATGACATATTGCATAGATCTAAGAGTTCAGAAATGTTTTTTATCAGTGTAGTCCATGGTTAGCCATTACCTTTTCTATTCAATCCCATCAAATAGTTAAATGCTCTGGGTTCTGTGTTATAGGTTTTAGCAATTGTTTACATATTTTTAGTGTATGTTTTATGTATCTTTTGTTTAACTCTGTGTGTGTTCTATGTTTCCTATCAAGGACAACATAAGTGTAAGTTGAAAGTTGAGACATCGCTTAAGATCTGACCAAAGAAAGGCCGACCAGTGTTTTAAAGAGAAAAATTTAAAAGAAATTGTGGGAAATAATTACTTTACAGCCAAAAATTGTTGAGAAAAGTAGCTGATGTGTGAATTTGTGTGCTGTAGCGACTCACTGCGTCGAGGTGAGTGAACCACGGGGTCTGAATGGGCGGGGCTACTGTGAGTTGACTCATCCCCCCGGTGCCTGTAGGAGTGGTTTGTTGCAGAGGAGCTGTGAGGAACAGGGAGACACGCTGAGCAGCCTCCCACCGACGCTCCGCCCCACGACACACACATCTCTGATGCACTAAACCGCATCACCATGGGAACAAGACACGACCACGACAAACAAAAACGAACAACAACAACAACAACATCCACGGTGTCACAAAACAAGCTCATCCACATTCTGTAAATTAATACAGCATTCCATTAAGTTCACACTCACATATATTTCAGCATCTGATTTTAAAGGATGTTTGAGTTTATAACACAAATATCAATTTCATCAGAAATTGCTGCAATATATGGAAATACTATTTTAAGTATGCAGCGTGGTTTAACCTGCTTTAAGTAGCAGATGGGTGGAGTTTGTCCCATATAGTCTAGCGATCGCACGTCGATATTTGAAATTAACTTTGCCTGAGTATGTTAAAGCCTACCCATCTGCTAAATAAAGTACAAACACTTACAATGTGACCTACCCCAACATCATGTACATAAATCATTCAAAAAGTGTCAAACATTCACAGTATCTCATCCTCCATCTGTTAGGAAGAATCAAAAATCCCACAAGACATCTGATATCTGATCATGATTATTATTCAATGCTCAGATACTTTGACAGCTGAACTGTGAGTCTTTGTGAATACATCTACATCAAGGAAGGAAAAGGACATTGTTTTATACTGGTCGTCTCTGAGTGCTGTCTGACTTCCCTAACCTTGAGTCCATTGGTGTCTACTGAAGTTGTAAATCTTTGAAAACAGGTCACAGATATACAGTTTGAGTTGTCAAAAATGTTCTGTAATTTCCTAAAATAGCTGACCACTGTAGTTTTTGGCAAACGTTTCTCAAAACTGGAGGAAGCTCCATTTGGTGGGGACTACAGATTAATACGCAATTGGTGCACTAGTATTTAGGGCAGCAGGACAGCATATGTGGGATAAAAATAAGACACATTACCCTTGCTTATGGTAATGAAGGAACATGTCAACCAGCGCAACAGTGTGGCTCACTGATTCGTTCTTAATTGTTTCTGGGCAATGGAGGAATATATATCGTGCTTGCATACGCAAACAATACTTAAATTTAATTTGTTGAAAAAGAAAAATGGATAATATTGCCTGCCTTATCCTTTAAGTTCTAAAATTACACCGCAGTCTTAACATATTTGTTCCCTGAAAAAACTGTATGCGTCAGTGTTGATAATTTTCCTGCATTACAAGTCAACAACAAGTCAACAACAAGCTCAGAAGAACCATTCATCAAAAGTATAACATGCTAGCATGCTATCAGTGAACAGAACATCGGTAGCTACTACAAACACAAACACCCCGTAAAGCTCCATTTTTGACACTATCCTGGAGAACTAGTACTTTCCATGACTAACAAGAGCAGAGTCCCAACACATTTTACTGACTCTGGTAATTATCTCTTAAGAAACACCTAACATGTAAACTAAACTTAGGTTTTTGCTCATTTACTCACACTGTGATGTTTAAATGCTTGCTTAACCTCAGGATCAATAACATAACTGTCAAACACTGTTTAAGTAGACTGGCAAGATGTTAATGCAGTTGTTCTCAATCATCAATCAACAGCTCTATGAACCATCAAACCAGGGACTGTTACACACTGGGGGGACCAGGTGAATGTAGATAACTAGCATGGTAGATTCAGTGAATAGCTCTCTCTGTGGTACTGAAATACTGTCAGTGTAAAAGCCATCTGTCGGACTTGGCAATGTAGTCACGAATACTAGTTCTCAAGGGGAATGACAAAGATGCTAATACATTAAAAAAACACATCCAATAACTTTAACATCCTTTGTGACAGAGAATCATGATGCTGTGTTATTAAAAAGAATAACAAGATGGTGGAATGTGGGTGGAACTGAGGGCTTATTTGATCATCAGTCATTTCAGAAATTGAATTTCCATCATTAACATTAAAGGTGAGAGGCACCTTTTTCGTAATGTATTAAGTTTTAAATCGATTTCTGAATTGAGAGTGAATTCAAAGGCAACTGACCCACACCAGGAAGTCATAAACTGATACAGAGGATGATAGGGAGGCCATGCAGAGACAATCACCTGTCCGAGAGAGGGTTGTCTGAAAGTAGAAGAGAAGGAGCCTCATCTGAAAATAGGAAGGGACACAGACATATGGCTTACATTTAGGGAAATCACCCAAAGAACAAACTGGATACCTTCGTAATAATCAGACATCTGATATTTCTGTGGGAAATTCCCTTTAAAATGGAAGCAGAAAAAGCTGCTCTGGCCATGAAAGAGGTAAAATAAAAGATCACAGTTCTATATTGCCTCTTCACATAAAGAAATCAGAGATGAATCTAAGTTAAACAAAATTAAAATCAAAGAAATAAGCAAACACGGGGGCACCAAATGAATAATAGCAGTAATAGAAGTAATGATACCTTGACGCAGTCTCAGCTGGTTGGTGAGAATTTTTCGAATCTCTGTCAGCCAGGCGACTTTGACCTCCAATGTGGGAGCCTGGGACACACACACAGATCATAACACAAGAGAGGTGTGTGAGTGAACAAGCTAAAGGTACAGACACAGAAACTATTGAAAATGTGCAATGAAAAAAGTGATAGTAAACAGAAAGCAAAAGATCAAATACCTGAACTATGTACACTACTTCTCTGCCACTGTACCAGATTTCGAATTTCTTCACATCTCCTTTCACATTTTCTGTGATTCCCACTGCACTCATCTGCACAAGGAGAGAAAAGACATTACATTTTACTATAACCTGTTATCCTCACAGACTCTGCACTGTTGTTTTCATCATACATTGCAACTATGGACGAACAATGTACAGCACAATTCAACAGAACCCCCAAACTGCTGCCTCACAAAAGGCCAATTCAGACCAGTCCGATGAACAATTATACAAAAACAACAAGCTTCATAAAGGGAGGATTTAATGTAGGGCTGTGGAATTGGACTGCACTGATTGTAGAAAGGTGTAGCTAATAAAGTATATATAATATATATATTGTTACTCTGAGGCAGGATTTGAAGCTGTAAAAGGGCGTCCTGTCATGAGCATCCTCATCTCTGCGCTTGCAGAAGAGGAGGGCGTGGTCGTAGAGGAAGAGATGTCTCTGCATGGGCTTGAACCTGGCCAGCTCCTTCATTCGCACCGCTGCCCTCTTATGGCTGATCCACACGCTGAAGCCTCCCTGCAACACCACTCGGCCCAGCTGGCTGAGGTCACCCTGGGACAGAGAGAAAGGTGGACAGAGAAGCACAAAACACATTACATGGACTATATCTATTAACATGAAAAGGAAACTGTTTGTGATTTGCTATCCTTTATATATAAGCACTGGTTTACAATGAAATTTAGTGATTCAATACTGTACCTCGGTCTCTGAGGGATTACACAGATATATTTGCAACCAAGCCATTGCAGATTGTTTTTGTAATTTTGTGATGCACTTTCGTCAATCTTCAGTCGTTTATGTAATATTAATAGTTGTAACAACAAAAGCACACCAAGAAAAACAGTGCTAAAAATAAGATACAATATGATATACTTTATTTCTCCCTATTTTAAAAATGTGCACTACAGTTCCACAATAACAAAGAACTATAACCCTAAAGACCACAATGATACAGAAGAAAATAATTGTAATATTATTATAATAAAAGTAATATTTGAAATTTAGCTGCAAGTAATTATATTATAGCAACAGTGGAAATTATTTTCTTATGATTTTCTATTTGCTGAACACACCAAACCATAAAATTGAATGACATTTTAATGAATGCCCTTCAGTTCAATGTATGCACAGTAAATAACAAATAAAGCCAGTTAACCTAAGTATCCAATAAAAGTCAGCGGGAAACATAATAATGCAAACTAAATGAGAAAATCATAAACAGGATAGATTAAAAACATTTATCCCCAGACATTGTAGTCACTACCTGTATAGTCAGAGCAGGTCGAATAAAGTGCTGAAAGCTTTGATTGGACCATTTAATATTAAAAGCATAACGATGTGTCATATATCTGGCATCCAGTCCACTCTATCTTTCTTATTGACTGGACTGGTTGGTACCTGATATCCAGTGATGGCTATCTGATGCATGGAGTCATTGACAGACTTCAGCAGCTCCAGCATCGAGTCCAGAGCCTCCTGGAGTTCAAAGCGGTATCGCTCCTCCCTACAGTGTTTCAACAGCTCCTGAACAAGGACAGAGACACAGGTTGACAGGTCAGTGTCTTTATCTAATCTAGTCTGAGTTGATCTTTTGCCTGCATGAACGTCTGTGCGGACAAATCAGTTTTGTTTGGATAAATCTTATCAATTTGTGTCTGCGCCTGCTGAACATGTCTACTCGTGTCTTTTTCTGTATCTCAGTGTGTATGTCTTGCTGCTGGTATAATTGTCTTGATTGCTTGGCTCTCTGTGCCAATCCCTTTGTCCATTCATCAATCTGAATGCTGCCTTTTTTTTTTAAAACAAAACCCAGACTGCCCTGAGCACATGATCACATATCTGACCAAATACCTGCAAACCTAACGACATTCCCATCAGCCTCAGCTGCACTTTGTGTTTAGTGCTAAGTGCAACTGTTAGCATGCTTACAAACTAAACTAATATGGTGAAGGGGGTAAACATGTTAGCACTATCGTTATCAACATTTAGCTCAAAGCACAGCCTCACAGAGCCACTAGTAGGACTATAGACTCGTCTTGTAGCTGATATGATTTAGACAAATTGCAAAATGAAGCATCTTTGTAATTTCGTAATTAAAGCTTCTCACACACATTTGGACTTCTTTTCAATAGTGACTCTATGCTCAATACACGTTTGCGTTAAGGCAACAAATGAGCTCTTTTTTGACATGTTTTCCTACTAACCAGTATGCCTTTGTTAGGCACTAAAAACTAAGTATTTTAGACATGCATGTCATCATGTGAGCTGCATCTCTACAGAGCTCTTCATCACTGACTGGCTCGGATGTACAGAACCTTGAGTAGCAGCTGGTACTTGGTGAGGCGTTGGACTGGTTTCAGGAGGTAAGAGTCCAGACCCAGCTTGTGGTCCAGCTTCTTCTGGCACTCCTAGAGAGAGGAGAGGAGGAGAGGAGAGGAGAGGAGAGAGAGAGAGAGAGAGAGAGAGAGATTTCAGACAGCTGCCTGTAATGCTTGAGGCGTAATCATAAAACTATTTTGTTTTGAAAATAAGAAAAACAACCAGTAATGCAAATGACTTTCATAAAGAGTGGATAATGTTGCTGTAAGGACGTAATTACCTGAAAGAAGGGCGAATCAGAGCACTGTCTCCATAGCAACTCAGAGCGAGGCTTGTTTTGGCAGTAACGCTCATACACCTGGAACTTCTCTTTCTGCTCACACACACACACACACGCACACACACACACACACACACAAACGTATACTTTGATATGTTGTGTCATATCACTTCACATAAAGTTCCCATGTTTCTCCTCATGTTAGCTCACCCGTTGCAGGAAGCAAGCTCCCACCCTCTCTGGTGTCTCCAGGCAACCCTGCAGATCTTGGAGGAAGATCCTGAATGGAGAATCCAAGAGGAAAAATGAAAGGAAATTGTATTGGCAGGCAAAAAGGGGGAAACAAGGACTCTGTGACAGCTTGTCAACTCAGCGTGTGTGTGTGTGTGTGTGTCTTGCCTGCTGTGGAACTGGTAAATCTCTGGCATGTTGCCAAATAAAACGTCCTTCTGGCTGCGTAGAGCTGAAGGAAGAAGATTAGACATGGATGGGTCCTCCATTTCTGCCCTATAGCCCTGATAAGTGTAGAGGAGATGAGAGGAGAGGAAAGGAAGAAGGAGGAAGGAGACGAAAAAGTGGAGACAAAAGAAGGAGAGGGGAAATGAGACAGAAAAGGAGAAAGGATAGGATGAAGGAGAAAGTGGAGGATATAGGAGATAGGAGAGAGAAGAAGGATGAAGAATGGAGAGGAGAAAAAAAAAACAAGAGGAAAACTTGACAGGAGAAAACAGGAAATACAGAATAACATTGTGGGACATTTTTCCCTCTCCCATCTCTTATTCTCTCGTTATTCTAGCCTATAAACTATCTAACAAAAGCAAAATGCTATAAAAAAAAACTCACCAGAAGGACAGAGAGCAGCTCATCTACATAGATCCTCTCTGTAGCGATCAGTTCCTTCATAATATGGCTATAAAAGGTGAGAATGAGAGAAAAATAAACAAAAACTGAATGCAAGGCAAAAGGAAAGACTTAATGCCACATATGACACATACAGAATAATGCACAAAAGTGCAAGGTTAGAGTCACAGGTCAAACTTCAGGTTAAGGATCATGTGTGACAGGCGAAAGATTGCGTACCGTGTGACCTGCTCTGGATTGTCTTCTGCCTCTGAATCCGTTTCAGGGGTGGGACCATACAGACAGCTGCGGTTGCCTTGGAAATCATGCATGACCTCGATCTGACAAAACATACAACAAACAAACAACGTTCTGGCATATAATAAACAATAAATTATCCTCATTGATAAAAGAAATACAGTTAGCTTACGATTATTTAAAGTGTAAACAACAATCAGTATTCCCGCTAAACAAATAAGGGAATGCAGGCAAAAACAACAGTGACAGTCATTAATGCAGTGATTATACAACGCCTCTCAGATGATACTGTAGGACAAGGACGGTACACTCTCACTCTCTGTGTGCTCTGTGAGGCTGCACTCTGCATAGAGATGACTTATGCTAAAGCTAAATGCTAACATTTGCATGCTAACAGGCTCTAAATGAAAATGCTAACATTCTGATCTATGTATGGTGTATAGGTATGATGTTGACCATGTTCATAATCTTAGTTTAGCATGGTTACATGCAAATTGCTAATTAGCGTCACAATGTGAGATTAGAGTTACTAAAATGATCACAGCTCATTCTGAAGGGGGTCCTATCTATAACTGGCTAGACATTTCACTCAAAACCACAAATGTGAACTTTCTGGTGGCACAACAGGAAAATCCTCTTCATCATCTGGGAACTGTGAATGTCTGTACAGAATTTCAGGGCAATCCATTAAATATTGTTGAGGTATTTCAGTCCAGACAGACCAACATTAATTTGCTATCCATAGAGTCAGTGTGGCTCACACCTTGCGTTGGCTGTTGTTCCTCCTCGCAGCTCTCTTTCCAGGAAGCAGGTCAAAGGAGAACTTGGAGTTCAGGACGTTAAAGTCTACAACTGTGGAGAGAATCATATATACACATGACATGATGAGAAAAAAGGCAGACTAAAGGCTGCAGAGGAGTTATACAAGAGAGAACAAAACATAATGATTGGGGCTTGTAAGAAGAGGAGTAGACAGAACTTTATTATAATAACATCCCAGTCAACAACAGATTGTGGACAGAATCCAAAGCATAAAAATAAATCTACACTCCAGAAATAAAAGTAGGAAAATCTGATAATTTTCAAGAATGAATCAGATGATTTTATACACAAGTGAAGTGAACACTGGAGGAGAATGATTCCGATTTCTGATCAATGTGAGGAGAAGGGTCCGTCAGAGGGGGTCGTACCATGTTTGGGGGAGAAGAGGGGTGACTTGCAGCGCTGCGAGGTCTGGTCGGGTTCAGGCCTGGGGGCCACTAGCTGGATTGGTCTGACCTGTACATCCGCCAACTTCCTCAGACACTGCTCTCTGTTTCTGATCATGGACTGCACTGAGTTCAGCTTCTCTGTCACCATGTAGATTTGGGACTAGAAAGAAAGAAAGAAGAAAGAAGTTGAGTGAGTTGAGGTGAATTGTGCGTCATCTGTGTTTTGGTGTCAGTAGCACGGGGGGTTACCTGCAGCTGTGGGGTGAGTATGGCTTCAAACTCCAGGCTCAGAGTGTCCTGGTTGTTTTTAAGTGCGGATGGCGCCCTCTCCTGGTGACAGCTTAGGACCTGCAGCGCCTCCTGAGCTCCTTCTCTGGTTTGGAATCTGTCCACCATCTGACTCGCCAGAAGATAGGCGCCTTCATCACACCACCCAAGGGCCTGCACGCACATAAAAACACAGGGCACAAGAAAACACATGTTTCAAGGTACTTCATACTGATTTTTAAATTTGATCATAAAAAAGAACAAAGAAAAGATTCACATAAGGAAATTTAACAAAGGTCGTTTTAAGCTTTTTGCCTTCTTCTGTCATATGCTTGGTGGCCCTTGCACATTTTACAGTGAAACAAAAAAAAGCATTTTTACCCCTTCTAGGCGGAGCAGCAGGTCTCGTGCTCGATTGAGCGAGGCCCGCTTGGTGCGTATGGCAGTAGTGATGACATCACAGTGATGACGCAGCTCATTGCAGCGTTGGACGATGAGTGCCAGGGCGTAGTGGTGGTTGGCGGCCAACTGGTGACCATGAAGGATCACCACCTGGGCACGAGCCATCTCTTCCTGATCCACAAACACACACACAAAGGTTTTTGGTTCCAAAACGAGTCGAACACCATTTCATTACACCTCGTCTTATATTAACATTGATTAGATCCACTGTGTTTGGGTTTCATGTTGCCACAAATCCAAATGTTGTTGTTTCCTGATGCAAGAAGACAATTGTAGTTTACAGAAAACAGACATTTTTTTCTTGGAAAGTAAAAAAAAATAATGAGCACACTCATTGTGTGCTCATTGTGTGCAACCAGCAAAATACCTGTACAACATGAAATCTTGTATGGGGAGCTGTTCTTCCACTGCAAACCGACCTACAGCTTCCAGAGTTACTAGCAATGACAGTGGGTGTAATAATAATAAATATATTATATTATAATAAAATCCCTACCAACCCCTCAAGTTTGAAAAAGTAAAAAGTCCAATAAAAATCAAATCCATGTCAAGAAACACAAGAAAAAGGTGCCAGGAAGCAAGAAGTTACTAGATTGTTACTCCCTTATTCCCTATAACTTCACATCTTGTTCCCTTATTTCTACATACATGAACGTATCAGTATGTACTTAAAACTAGTACTAAAAGTAAACTAAAAGTACTAAAAATGACACTGTAAATTTGGAAGAATTATGCCGTACATATTGTGTTAAATTATATTATGGTATCACAATTAGAATTACAATGATATTGTGATATACTGATGCTGTAACACCTGATCTCAAACTGTGGTTGTTGTGTGACTTTGCTAGTCACCTGAGCATATGTGTCCAGCATCTCCAGATCTCTCAACAGTTGTTCAGTCTGAACCACCGTGGTCCCCACAAAGGCAATGTCCTTCTCCTGGTTAGTAAGCCTCTCCAGCACCTCATCCATCTACACACACACACACAGTTAATCATCAGAGCAGTGTCACATAGACTTGAGGGCTAATATGAAGCAGACAGACACCAATCATCACACCTGCTGGAAACTCAGTTCATAGTGAAGCAGCTGAAGGTACTGCTGCAGCTTCAGGTGGTGTTTCTCGAAGAAGCCATCGAACGCCTCCTCCATGTCTCTGAGCTGGGCCAGTAGCCTAAAACACACGACACACAGACGTTCACACAAGTTGCCTGGCAAAATAAATGTTTAATAAGATGTTAGTGTCAAACTGAGAATATGGCGTACAGTACTTGTCTTGTGTCCAATTATTTTCTCTAAAAAGATGAAAGGTGAACGTTGTACCTCTGAACAGTGTCCATGTCTACTCTTATGTCCCTCTCCTCCTCTATATCTCTCTTAGAGGCCTTGACAGTTTCCAGGTTCGACAGCAGCAGGCGTCCCTCTTTCAGCACATTACGGATATTGTCCTGAAACAACATGACAAACAACAAGACCAATGAAATCATGACAACACCAAAAACCACTGCAACTACAAAAAAAAAAAACACAAAACAAAGAAAAATCAAACACAGAGCTAGAGTAGTGGGGGCGAGGAGAGCCAGCAGCAACCTTCATCTGTCGGTATCGGTGTGTGTGTGAGTGCAGCAGGAACTCGATTGCGTTAGCTTCGTCTGGAAGTTCGATCTCAGACAACTCTGATCCGAAGCCCTGCAGCAGCTGAGCAATCTCCTTCACTGTCACTGCGAAGGTCTCAATGGCCTGCAGACACACATACAAAAAAGACACATTAACAAAATGATTAAATACAAGAACAAAAGTAAGGCCTATAAGAAGGGCTTGATAAGATAAAAATGTCTTATATTGAAATATTGTTTCCTCCTGTTTGCTGCTGTTGAGTAAATCTAACAGTGTTCATAGCTGAGTTGTTAGTTTAATTTCCTGTGTTGTTTTATGTTCAGCTCCAAAGACCACTGGGAATGTGCAGCTTGGCTTGAACCTAGCTTTGACTTCCGACACACATCAGAAGTGCATACCGTGCGGAGGACGATCCAGTCACTTTGGCAATACTCCACTTTCGCAGTGAAGTCTGATGTCAGGTGGTTTTCATCGATGTAGCGCAGCAGGTCACCGACCGAACGCAGCATCACCACCTACAAACACAGAGCCACAAGGCATCTATAGCAGCCTCCAAACCAATGTGTACTGTACTGCGTACTGAGAAATGAACGGTTCCAATAAAACAACACCATGTTTCATCTTGTTCATTCCAGTTTTCTCCTGGAAATGGACAGGAAGATAGTGTGTAGTGTAGAGCAGAGACAGGATTGTGCTGCATTAGATTGGTAAAACACATCCTCATACGTTTAACAGCCTGTAAACTCAGTTTTGAACCCTGGTTGTCTTACCGGCATCTTTAACAGGAAGTCATCCTGGCTGAAGCGAAAGCCCAGGTCGGTGCTTGAAGATGGACTGGGGGTGGTGCTTAACAAGCCGGTGGGGCGGAGCACCAAGACCAAATGCAGGTTGCCTGGAAATGAGGTCTGAAAGAGGAAGAGGTGTGTTATCATTTGTTTACTCAACTTCATAATACTATTAGACACTTAGACACAAGTAAATCGTGGAGAGCAGACAAATGAGGAGGAGAGGAGAGGTAATTAAAAATGCATAAAGTCACAAATGTAAATCAATACTGGGCAGAAGTTTAAACCCTCTGCTCTGAATATGGATGACTATGGACTGACTGTGATGCACCATGAATTTATTTTAAGTAAATTATTTATGTCAACCCAACATTGTGGTAAACTGAGATTTCATGGATTTATCCTCCACCACTTCCCCGGATCAGGACAGAGGAGCAGAGAATGAGAGGAGTCAGACTGTCAGTCGGTATTGTTGACAGCTGATTGTTAGCCGTGCAGACTAGCAGAGCTCAACACAGCATCAGCATCTCTCACTGTCAATGTGGGAAGGCTCAGCAGGTCTGACAGTCAGCTCCTCCGACTAACTCTGCTGCTTCGTCACTATTTTTCATGACCAACATGCCCTCACTGTCATTATTATCTCTGTTAACACTCATTTTCCATGTGGCTTCTGCTGTCCTCTGGCTCCAGTTTTCTCCATATGTTTATGGTTCTTCTGTTTCTGTCTGTGTATGTATTTATGTGTCTCTGTGGTTTTTCCCTGCAGCAGATCACATCTCTGATTAGCATATTATCAACGAGAGATGCAGCAAATAATCGCTGAAATACACTGCTGCGTTTGCTTTTAAAATCCAAATCTTGTGCGGTCTTTGAACACAGTGACATGAAGATTAAAAGCCAGCAGTGTTGTTTTATTACTTGTTTGGACAAGTGACTACCACAGACTGATTACCACTGAGCAGACAACTAATAAAGTGCTCCAACTGTGGCAACTCTTTCCTCACCTGCTTGCCATCTCATCCATCTCATCCATCTCATCTCCTCCAAAATACACTCTGCCCGCCCCACATTTTCTTAGCAGTGTTTACACAGATCCGATGGAAGACAATTTACACTTAATTTAAAGCTCTTCTACTCTATATCAATTGGTAGATTTGGCAGGGGCAGTGGACTGTGTCTGTATTACTTTTGCTACACTGCTTTCACATTATCCTCAACAATAAAGGATACAGTGTCATCTGATAAAATAAACAAAAAGCTTTTCACTCTCATCTAAAGCTGACAAGCTTATTATACCCTCTCAGAAACAAGGCTACAGGTAATACAGCACAGAAGAGCTTTTTCTCTGACAGTAAAGGAAACCGTTTTCTGTGTTTAGGTGTGTTAAATCATCACAACCTGACCATTAAAACCACAAACTGCTGATCTGAGACCTCAGCTTCCTCTCCCATTCACCTGCAGTAGTCTTTTGTACGAAGAAATTACCAAACTAGTTAAGATGATCCAAGTTGTGAACCTGGATAGTTACTGATAGAGCAGCCATGATGGATGTCATTGGATGATTGCAGACTGCATTCCACAACTGTATTTTAAATTTGTGGGCACCAAGTAGGCTTTTTGACAGGTATCCCTAAATCTGTTACATAAAGCTGTTTGAAGTTGAACACACTCCACACTCCAGTTACAGACTGCAGTACCTAAATCTAAACCAGCCTCTTGCTGTTCTGTACCTGCAGTAGCAGTCCAAATACACACACACACACACACACACAAATACCACATTTGTCATTGGCCTGTCCTGGTCCCCTGCACACACTCTTTAACATTGAACTACCATCTGAATCTGATTAGGCTCTTAACCGAGAGGCATTTTAAATATCTAATGCAGTTTGCACTGTACTGAGAGCACATCCCAACCTCTGTGTCGCAGTACTGAACTGTCTTAAGAACAGCTTCTCTCTCTCTCTCTGTCTCTCTCTCTCTGCTCCTCTCTCTGCTGCAGTATCCTCGTCGCCCCGTATGAAGCCTCCCACCTCCCCACCTCCCGGCGGAGCTTACCGCGGCCCGGCGCAAACGGGGGAAGCCCCGCAGCGGGTTGGACTCGGCCATGGCTTACAAGCGCTTCCCTCTCCCCTGTTCTCCCCGGGTCCGTGAAGTCTGCTGCGGGACGTGGTGTCGGGAGCGAGCAGCCGCAGCGATGGCACGGTAACCCACACTGCAGTGTCCGGGCGGGCCGAGCGGCGCGCTGATTGCGCACCTCAGCAGTCTCCGGATCAGGATGATGGGGTGTGTTTCACTCACCTGACGTCAAAGCCAAAATAAGTTTGCACGCTGCACAGCTGCGCGCCACAAATGCCCATCTTATAATTAGAGAAGATGCTAAAACCATTATTTGATTATTTAGTCTGTTGTTACCGAGCAAGAATTTAAGAGAATATCTAACCAGCACCATCAGGCTGTAAAATAAGAAAAATAAGTTGTTTTCTCGTTCCTGATTTTGAAGATTACTTTTATTTTCTAACATGACAGAGAAGCATCTATGAAACACTGGTAGGATTTTTTTTTTAAAAGGGAGAGGGTATGAGTAATTTTCCACTGGATCCGCCAGATGGCGCTTTAAAATCAGGAGATTGTAAACCACCTCTGGATCACCTTGTGACATAAACAGTAGGAATGGTCCGATTAAGGGTTGGACAAGCCCCCACACGCCCACCTTCCACGCTCTGTACGTCACCTCCACGTTCATATCAAATACAGGCACATAAGACTATAATTAACAGCTCAGACCAGGAGGCCTACTCCTATGCTACTGCACTACAAAGCTTGGTTTTAAAGCCTTTATAGCATATAAATAGACACAACCCTAACCCACAAGCTGTGGTAGAGCAGGTCGTCCAGTCATCGGAGGGTCACTGGTTAAATTCATGGCTCCCGCAGTTGGTGTCCAAGTGTCCTTGGCAAGATACCGAACCCCAAAGCACTTGATCGTTCCTGATGAGCAGCTTAGTACCTTGCATTTCGTGTAAGAAGTGTAAGAATGTGACAAGTGAGTGGTCTGTAGACCAAAACATCACTGTAAAAATACAAACCATTTACTGAAATATGTACAACTGCTGAATGGATTCAGATTACATTTTGTACAGACAATAATGGTCCCCAGAGGATAAATCCTTCTGACTTTGGTGATTACCTGACCTTTCCTCTGGTGTCACTATTTGGTTTAGGATCAAGTCTGCTAAACTAACCATGGGCCTCAGCTGTATTCTGTGTTTAGTGCTGATCCTAAACTAAGGTGGTGAACATGATAAAAAAATAATCAGCATGTAAGCATGTTCATGTAAGCACAAGCATCGGTTCACATGTATGATTTTAAGGGCTCATTTCACCTGTACATTGTTTCCTGATGTTGTTTATTTATATATCTGTACTCGCCTATAGCTTCAAATCATGTACCTTGTCTTCTTATGCGTGTGTATCCCTTTATCTCATCTTATTTTCTCCTAATAAATAATTGCTTATGCTGGTTGTGCTCTTTGGCTGACACTCCACACGGGACGCTCCACATCATTATTAGTGCGACTGGCTTCAAGTGTTTGGTCTTAAAAAGGCTCAGCTACCTAAGTTCAGTCAGCTGGTCCTAAATAAAACCATCAGTCAGTACATGGGAACAGGGCCAACATGGGCTTCCTGACAGGTTGCACTCTGTATATATTATTTTATTTTTCCAAACCTTTTATCTGTTCACACAAAATCATGTTGATGTTTAAAAGAGAAGGCTTCAATTTTTATTCAGAATTTTTGTTTAGGTTTTTCACAAATAGTAGGAACAAATATGACACACTGTTACACACACACTTGGTACAAGGCAAGCATGTGCAAGTAACTCAGTAAACTGGAATAAAATTAGCCTGCAGACACAAAGTACCTGTCTTGGTTTAATAAACCTTAGTGGACTAATGCAGGCTTTTATTAGTGTGTGGTTAAAGAAGGCAGTGGTGGAGAAATCAGACAGAGAAGGAGAGACATAAGAATACATTTAAACCTTTAGATAAATTAGTTCAACGTCATATTTCCCAATCAAACTAATACAGCCAATACAGTGGGGTCTATCAAAAGTCCCAAATACTTATACAAATACAATCTTTTTCTCTCTCCCTCTGTTTTTATTTGTATACAAATGCGTGGGAGTGCGCGTCATTTGGTCATGTGTTCAACGGGGAGATCCTCCTCACAGGGAATCACTGTCACATTGGTGATCAAAAGGCTGAGAGCCATTAGACGCCACACTTTTCCAGGAAACAATTTGCAGGGCAGACAAAACAGTGATTAGTATTGAGGTCATGTGACCTCTCTGGTAAAGTCTGAGCCTGCTAATATGTTTTATTTTAACTTGATCGCAGAGAGGTGTGGTCAAGCACAATGTTGCAAAGGCAAGAACATTTATACAACCATTATATAATGGAAATTATAGTCTGCTTTTCTATATAACCTCTTTCAGTTGGAGCTTTAATTTCCCATTGCATCAAACAACCTGAGCACTGATCAAGCTGATCAAGCTTTCACGTATCACAGTGACCCTTGCCCTGTGGAGCGTCTTAGTGGCCTGGAGGTCACTCTGTTGACCTTGGCTGGACTCCAACTAAGGCCTTTTGACACATATTGTAGATATTGTACATTTCACTCCATACATTTAACTGACAGCTTACTTTGCAAATTCAGATTAATAATACAAAATATAAAATCAATCATTAGCTAGATAATAGTATATTAATCATAATATATTATATCCTAAGGGAAATTCACAAGCTACCCAGCAGTGTATGTATTTATTAACTGTAACATTAAAGTGATGTACATCCATTTATATAATTTATATATATTATTCTGAAAGAGGCCTTGCTGCATAATGAGTGCTTTTACTTTTGTACTTCAAGTGCATTTTGATGTGTCTACTTTTATACTTTTACTTAAGTAAAATGGTGAATGCTTGAACTTGTATTTTCTACTCTAAGAGTAATAATATAATAAGTAACAGTATTTCTCCTCTTTGATATTGCTATCTCAGTACTTCTTCCACCACTGCCCCAATATCAGTCTGTCATTTCAGTGAGTGTTAAAGATATTCAACTATCTGACCAATTATATTGTCTTTAATCCCATTAAACTGGTCCTTATGTGCCGCGTCTTGAAAGTTAAATAAAATATTCTCTATGTGCTTGATCAAGCACTTCACAAGAAAAGACACCAGCTAGAAAACAATCTCTTGGTAAACTATAATTTTAGATTTTTGATTTGACAATAACATTTTTAACATGCATTTGTGGAACTTTGGAGTCTCAAAAGGGAATCGTTCTGGTTATTCTTCTTAATCTCTGGCACGTTACTGAGTGTTAAATAAGACAGCTTAATCTGACGCTCTCCGATGCTCCCATCATCCACTCTGTAATGGGACTAGGAGTCCTTAATCTGCTGAGATCAGACAGACTGAAGTACTGAGAATCTCCACACTGCTTATAGAGTATATATAAAAATATTATACATCATTTATTTTTACTGTTTAACATTTTCTTCATAAATAAATAGAAAACTGTTAAATTGCTTATCAGATTTGTTGGGTTCCTTGATAAACATACATTGCAAACTGCAGCTAATTGTTTATAAGCAACACTGAAAAAATATAATAAGCAATGAGTGTAAAGAAAGATTCTTAAGGTGCCTGTCCCTTGTTAACTCCACAGCGTGACCCCTTGTTTAAAACAGGTGCAGCTCACATAGAACCGGCTAATAATAGTCATTCTAAAGTCTATTATTAAACACAAGTCAACCAACATATAGCAGCAATCCACATGTCATGACACAAAAAAATTACAATGATGCCCCTCAGAAAAATGAATCCTGATCAGAAAAGGCCTAAAACGTTGTGATTTATGATTTATTTTGATGAAAGGTGACTTGATTGCTTGGTTTGTGGAAAAGGGGGATTATCAACCACAGCCATGTGGAGACTATGTGGTTCTATGTTCCAGTGATTTAACCGGCTGGTATTATTAAACCCTTTGTAGTCCCAAAAAAAGCTATCCGCTGATTGCTTAACTGGATTATCAAGCAGGCAATGGCAACAATGATGAACCCAGTTAAGTCCGAATTATGCACAGAGAGCGGCTGCTTGTATAAAAAGGGAGGTCAACTGTTGCAGACTGCACTCTCCACTTACCCTGACACACTCTACCGAGCTCCCAGAGAACTGATAAGAGGTAAGTCTCTTCATGGATGGATGGATGGATGAATTTAGTGACTATACCAATGATTAATTACAGAACCTTCACTTGAAGAACTATGTATGATTTTACCTTTTGAATAGAATACGCTGATGAGGAAAACTACATGGGCTCATTTGAGAGATTGTATGTGGTTGTGTCAGGGGTCAGCCTAATTTCATTACACGGTGCGGACTCTTATGGCATACAGTTTCTTCAAATGGGAGTTGTAAGGCATTTCTACAACAGATACATGTTTATGAGAAAGATCAGTGATGCAAACTTACAAAGCTTGCTGTAAGGGGACAAAGTATGCTGTAGATTAAAGTAGCATGATTGTCTGATGGTAGGTTTGCAGGTAAATGTTTTTTGATTTCCCGGAATTTTTGTGTTAATCACTGTTGTCAGACAGCACAGTGCAGTTTGCATTTGTATTGAATTGTAGACAGATGTTAGTTAAAGGAACACATTTTCATTGTGAGATGTGCAGATGCAAGATACAGTTTGTCGGCTCGGTTTAGGGAGCGATGTCACATCACGTCCCTATCTGCAGCCAGCATTAATTGTGCTAAATTGAGCAATAATAATAACAGAACATTGATCTATCTCTGAGTTAACTGTAGATCAATATGATACATTAATGTTTGAATATTATAGTACCAAATAGTTTCAGAACTGGTGGCAGTTGCATGTATCTAAGAAATGAATGAGTGATCATTTAGTTAATTAATATTTAGATTACTTGCTGAGCAGTTACAGGTGATCATTTACTGGATTTGTCACAACAAATGGGCAAATCTTATAAGCCCATAAAAACAGAGGAATGCATCTGTACAGTACGTCTCCATGGTGCTGAAATGTGCGTGCAGCCCCTAAGCTTTTTCTTAAAGTGCCAAGTTTGTAATAGTAAATACATGAATAAGACAGATGATTCCTGAAAGTTAATTGAAGGATAAAAAATGGCATTCACAGTTGATTTTGAAAATCTTTAATAAACAACAATTAATCAAATGTGTACAGCTCTTTTAACCTTTGTGTAATAATCCTCATTATGGAGCTATAGAGGGCCAGTGCTAGGACTTAGAGTCTCATCGAGTCCCGCTATACAACAGTATTAAATGGGTTCTATCCATTTAACTGTCCCAAAATAGTCGACACAAGCAACATCTCTGGCACTGGTGTTACGGAAGGGGAACGCATCATGACATAATGTGCATGTGAGTGTTATGTAAATCTGGCCTGGAGTTTGGTGTGAAACCGGTATCTGTTGAACAAGGTCCAGTTAGTGGACAGCAATAACAGCTTTGGCTAAGGAACCCTAACGCTGATGGTGTAATCTTATTGCAGCGGATTAACCTTCTGTACCTTCAAAACAAAACATCACTCCGACTGAGCTGACAGTTGGTGAAGGATCAATGTCTTAATCACAACACCTGCTGATGCTTTGACTTAGAAATAACCTAAAGTCACTTCTTTATTCTTTTCTTCCAACAGAACACTTCTAAAGATCCCGCAGAGATGGCAAAGTAAGTGTTGTTTTCCTCACACTGCAAATTCACAAAAATAATAAAAAGTTGTCATTAAAGGAAAGTTTGGCCTCTTTTGCTAAAAAGAGCTGAAACACTGACATTAAACCTGTAATCGCCTTTCAAAATTTTGTTACTTTGGAGTGGCAGACTTTGACACGGGTCAGCCAACTCCTAAAAGTGACAAGTTGTTTTAAAGTATTTATCTGAGGATTAATCAGTTGGGGCACTGATTCCAATGTGGTTTCAGACGTTAACTCAGGGAATTAGCTATTCTGGAACCCTGCCATTTGTAGCTCCCTCACCTGGGCCAGCCTCTCAATCCGGGCAGGATAAAATAAAGCTTCTCCACACTTAGCTTTTCCTAACAGGATAAAGGGGAATAAGGGATTACTGGCCCTTCTGCTACGTGCAAATGAACCTTCTTTACCTTCAGAGTCTAAAACTAAGCATTATTTCGTCGGCAACTCTGTCAATAGATGTACTCCTATTCCCTTTTATCCTTTATTTATATTGAATATATATATACTTTACATATATAAAACATTGTCGTCACTTCTGATTGTTAGGATAAGTGACGTTTGTTGGAAGAAGGAGGAAAAAGCAAAGGATGGAAGAGGGCATGAAGGATTCCAGTTTACTCTTGGGTCAAAATAAGAGTTGATAAATTAGACACAAATAGTCTTAAAGTGACATTTCTCTTCCCTTTTTCACAGGGTTTTCAAGAAGACCAGTGGAAATGGAGGGGTAAGTCTACATTTGTTGATTGAGTTTTAAGTTGTGTAGTGATTTTTAAATGAAAAATGAATTAAACATACTTGGGGGGAAAAAGTCAGTAGGGTTTTGAAGCACTCAACTGTTTTTCCTTCTTTCTGTCTGACAGCTGACCCTCTATCTTGGGAAGAGAGACTATGTGGACAACGTGACCGTTGTGGACAAAGTTGGTACGTTGCTTGTTCAGTGTGTGTGTGTGTGTGTGTGTGTGTGTGTGTGTGTGCAGCCACAGTGAGGATAAAAACATTGTAACATTGACTGCACTCTTACCTTTACAGATGGTGTTGTGAAGCTGGACACAACAGATTTTGCAGACAGAAAAGGTAACATCATAAAAAGTTCCACCTGAAGTTCCAACCCCAAGTTATTTATTATGGATCACAATGAAATAATGAACTTATCGCAATGTGTTGACAGTGTTTGTGCAGCTGGCATGTGCCTTCCGGTATGGTAATGAAGACCTGGATTTTATGGGTCTGTGCTTCAGGAAGGACATCTGGATCCAGCATTACCAGATCTACCCCGCAGACCACAAGCCTGCCCTGTCTGCCATGCATGAAACCCTGCTGAAGAAGGCTGGAGACAACGCATATCCTTTCACTTTTGAAGTATGACTATTATTAAACATTTCCAGATACGAGTGTAAAGACTTTATGACCTCAGCCTGTTCTACCACACATTCTACTTAAAATGAAAAGTTTATTTTACAAGATGATTCATGGACACAACATCACTGTGGAATATTATATCATACCTTTTTAATACTGACTATTATTATTATTATTGTTTCATCATAATCTACCATACTGTATTGCTGCCAATACACTTCAACTTGCATATAACTATATTATAACATGTCATTCTAACAATATAAGTTATGACATTATAACATGAAATGTTTTATATTGTATGTTGTTATAACAAACATTTCACGTTATAGCGTGATACTGATCTGGTGTGGCGGCAATACCACTGCCTTAATAATCTGTTTAGAGCATAGAAAGCAAAAGACAACATGAGTCTGAACTCCCATATTCCTATTTAGTGCTTTATTTTGTGAGTAAACATAAATTATCTATTATCTTTTCTGCTTAGTGATAAATGTTCTTCTTTGTATCTCTAGATTCCCACCAACCTGCCATGCTCAATCTCTCTGCAGCCTGGACCAGATGACAAGGGAAAGGTAAACTTCACGCTAATCTGCCAACATCATTCACCTCCCCGTGTCCTACACCCTTACTGTGGAAGCAAGGAGTTGTTGTCAACTTCTAATGTTTTATTTTCAGGCTTGTGGTGTCGACTTTGAGGTCAAAACTTACCTTGCCAAGGAAAAGAGCAACCCTGATGAGAAGATTGAAAAGAAGTGCGTATGCTTTCATCTTCCATCTTTCAACCGTTTGCCTTACTATTCTGCCTGACTAACATCTTCTCTATTTTCTTCATCCATCTTCTATCCCATTCACAGGGACACTGCTCGCCTTGTCATTCGTAAAATCCAGTACGCTCCCTCTCAGGTGGGCGCCGGGCCCAAGGCTGAAATCTGCAAAAGCTTCATGATGTCTGACAAGCCTGTTCATCTAGAAGCTTCCCTGGAGAAAGATGTACAGTAGCAAAACTTTATCATTTACTATAGATTGAATGAAGTTTAACTAACTATAGCACCATTAACTGTTGTTTCCTGGTTTTGACCACAGCTCTACTTCCACGGCGAATCAATCCCAATCAAAGTCAAAATCAACAATGAGAGCAACAAAACAGTCAAGAATTTAAAAATCACTGGTGGGTACTGATGATCATAGAAACGCTTTTGTATAGATTTAATATGACTGAAAGCACCACACAATTATTCTATCTCACTCTCTCTGATCTTCATTTCCACCCTCTCACAGTGGACCAAGCCACAGACATCGTCCTCTATTCAGCAGATAAATACACCAAGGCTGTTCTCAACCAAGAGTTTGCGTACGTGGATAGAAAATAGAAAATCACACAGCAAATATGAAACATTACATACCACTGTAGGAAAACTCAAGAACACAGTTAGACACGTGTAAGAGTGTGTTTGTGTTTTATGTTCTGCAGAGAGACAGTGGAGGCCGGTTCCACCTACGACAACACTCTGAGCATCACACCCTTACTGGCTGAAAACAAGGAGAAAAGGGGGCTGGCACTGGATGGACGACTGAAGGATGAGGACACTAACTTGGCCTCCACCACTGTGTAAGTTACATGTAATTTATTTGATTATTGCAGGAGACTTTGCATAACTTGCATGTGGCACTTCATGTAGTTTCACATTCACAGTACCCTCTCTTAATGTCTTAGTTAGTAGTTTTTTATGATACTTTACTGCATAAAACCCTCTAATCCCTGAAATCTTTGTAATCCCTCTTCCACACAGGCTGCGACAGGGCATTGAAAAAGAAATGCTGGGAATCCTGGTTTCCTATAAGATTGTAATTAACCTCATGGTGGCCGGAGGAGGGTAAGTGTCTGTTCATGTTTAAACATTTTTAGAACAAAGAATCGTTTTTTGTTTTTTTAAAGAATAAAATGTATGAACTAAAACAAACACGTGTCCCTCTTGTCTTCATGTAGCCTGCTGGGCGGCCTCACTGCCAGGTGAGTGGGGTTTACTTAAGATTATTCTACAATCCATAATAGGCCTAAAGCCAGTTGAGCACCAATCACATGTTTTATTCTGATTGGTTGGTTTGTTTTCTCTGCAGTGATGTTACAGTGGAGCTGCCATTGATTCTCATGCACCCTAAACCCCAAGGTATTTTATTAATAACTCCAACAAACAAATATTCAAATTTTTTTCTGTGTACTATTTTCCTGATACCAGTGCACAGTCCACATGCTGGCTTTTCTAATAAGTTTAACGTCTCGTCCTTTTTTCTTTCATTTCACATCAACCTGCCTTCCAAACTGAGCAGAGTAAAGACTGCACATCAGCGTAAGTCACTTCACAATCACCTGGAAATCATATAGTTGAGATTTACTTTTTTGTTAATTCGCTCTGTTTTTATGTTCTCCTCTTGCAGTGTCTTGAAAGAAAACTCCCCCATAGTCAAGGTGAGTTTTACACACAAACACACACACAAACACAAACACACAGTGTATAGTTCAGTCACGTCTGCACTCTGTTGGACTGTGTGCATGTATTCAGATGTTTTAAGCACATTTTATGCAACCCTGTAAAGATATTTGTCCATAATATGCTTTGTTTTATGTGTCTGCGTGTGTGTGTACATTAGGCTAAGGAATAACTCTCATAAGGGGGCATAAAAATGAATGATATTTTCTATAATTTAGCGTCCTTTTTCCCCTTTATAATACAACAGAATACATGAAATTTAGTTGAGTAATCATCCATACAGTAATTCCTGTATTGTCCACATAGTGTATGTGTGTGTAAACATCTCTTTGTGTTTATTTATTTCCAGAGAGGATGTTACCCTGGAGGTTGAGAAGAGGAAGTGACTCAAAACAAAGAGGAAAAGGAATGCGACTGGTGTCATGGAACCAAATAACAATAACCAAGCGACTAAAGAGAAAGATCTTTTCAACACACAAAGGATGAACAGATGTAACATTAGTCCCCTCACAGAGTTTTGTTGTTCTTGTTTTTCTTGTTTAATTGATGTCATTTAGATGTATTTGGATTGCTAAATAGTTTCCAACCTTTAGAGACCAAAGACTTATGTAGAGCCAGACTTACACAAGCGGGGGAAGAATAATCACTTTGAAGACCATAAAAACCACTGTGCTTTGGATTACAGTGAACTCATCAATTATTGTGAATTATTTTTGTCTTTCAGTGAAATGTATCAGATCATGTTTTTGATGTCAAGCCTGATAACCTAATAATAATACAATAAAGTTATTGTAAAACCAGAATGATTGTGATTGGTCTTTGTTTGTTGTGTTTTCATTAATGAACCAGCACTTTGTATTGAGAGGACAGCTTTTAGTATGTCAGAGTCAACGCTGCTCTCCTTCAGTTGTCCGGTAACATTTCAGTGCACTGCCCACAAAATACAGTAACATTTTGTTTCAAATATTTTTATTGTGAAGCAAACAGTATATCAAAAATACAACCATCTTTGGTTTATGCAATGCTTCGTTGTTTTGTAACATAAGTAACAAAGGTGTACTACAAGTAAGTAAATAAATGAAAAACAATAGATGGGAGAAAAAATTGAAAAGTATACAAAAAAGTAAATAAATAAAGTAGAATAAAGTAAATAAGTAAATAACTCCCTCCCTGTCCCACCCCGTCCCGCTCACCCAGTGCTACTCAGGTTGTCCTACATCCTGTTTCAAGAAAGAAATAATTGGTTGCCACATCCTTTTGAAGTCCTCCAATCTGTCACTAAGAGAATAACGAATCCTTTCAAGATGCAAGGTATCAGTCAGTGCCGTTAACCATGCTTTAAGACTTTGTGTCTCCGTCTTTTTCCATTGGAGTAGAACAAGTTTTTTCCCACAGAGGAGACCATAGGATAGAAGGCGGCGTTGCATATTCTGCAGGTTCCCACAGTAACATTTTGTAATAATGCTGAAGCCTGACGGAACGATAATGAGACAATTTCTGCAACAACAGATTAACTAGAGTTAGGGTTACCTTTCTCCTTCTCTCTCTCTGTCTGTGGTGCTGAAACATTCAGGCCCTCTTTACGTGTGTTTCTTTACATCTTAATAGTGTCCCAAGTCCATATTATAATACTAATCCCAAGGCCTTAAAATTAAGATTCAACGTTAATGTAGCAGTTTAGTTT